AGGTGAATGGACTAGTCCATCCATGCTGAGCACTGCTGTGAGCTTTCTTTTTATCCATTTTCTTATTACCTTCGCCAAGAAGGTTATGTTTTCGTAGGCGTTCGTGTGACTGTGTGTGTGTGTGTGTGTGTGTCAGCACGATAACTCAAGAAGGCTAAGATGGATTGTCTTGATATTTGGTAAGTGGGTAGGTCTTCATGAGACGTGGAACTGATTAGATTTTGGGCCCCCTAGCGGCTTGTTATGGTATTGCAGCTGAACTTCCGGTTTTGATATCTCGTGATCTGGACATGCTAGGGTCATGAAATTTAGATGGTAGATAGCTCTTGTGCTGTAAATTAAGTGACATGAGTTTGAGCCCCCTACCTGCTTGCTCTGGAACTGCAGGGGTGGTAGTTGAAAAATGTTTAAAGGCGAATAACTCAAGAACCGATTGATGGATCGTCGTGATTTTTGGCATGTAGGTAGCTGAAGTGATGCGTGACATAATAATATTACAATTATGCAAATATTAATGTAATTTGCATAATTAATGAGGAAATTCTATAAATCAGCTGCATTCCATGATAAGACTATTCAAGCTTGTGACATATGTAATTAAGAACAGCAGAAATACAGGCAGATATCGATTATGCAAATGAAGACTTAATTTGCATAATTAATGAAAAAATGTTATAATTACATAGTGGTAACTGCCTGGAATTTCATACTTGGGATATTTGAAAGTTGTGTGAAGGTGAACATAATTAAACATAACTTATTCAAATAAGGACCTCATTTGCATAATTTATGAGGAAATGCTATAATGGCATTCTTTGATAAGAAAAGACTGTCTTCTGGTTTAGAATATGATCAACAGCTATAATTGCTGCAATATAGGATCCTATTTGCACAATCAGGGGGATTGATCTATAATTTCTTAGTCATAAAGGCTAACACCATTTGGCGAAGGTATGAGATCGTGGAACTCTAGTAGTAGTTATACAAACACTTCCCATGTACATGCACCTTATATAGTTATAATACTTCTGTACAGTGAAACATCAAGGATTTCTATATTAAGTATGTTTATACTGTAGAGAAATATTTGGCCAAAATGATGTGTTACTTAGCATGACTGATGGAATTGTATAATCATTAATATAACTTGATAACAGAATTCACTACTAGTCCAATCATAAGAATGCTTTGGTTTGACATGTTGTAAAGCTGTATGTTTGACCTATGAAAAACACTAATGTGTAATGGTAGGGAGAAATTAGATGTTGATCTCACCTGTTTTGGCAGATTCTATGATGTCTGGTTTGGTCTCTTCATCAGTAACTGTACATGGGAAACAAAAACACGAGGCCGGTTAATGCCTGGACACAAACTTTCACAAGGTGTATATATGTAGTAATATTATGATATCAGTAAATGTGTACATAGGTAAACACATAGGTAAACAATTCTAAACATACATGTAGGTGACACGTAGCAAAATGATAACATAAGTCACCTCAACATAATCTTGTACACAAACATACAACTGATGTAAGACACAAGTGGAGAGAACTCTTGAATGTCAACAATTGCTGAAGAACATTTGAAAGCAATACCAGTTATCATCCAAGAAGGTTATGACTACTTACTAAGTTACAGGTCACACATTCTGACATGGAAGCAAGGAATGTATCATATGTAAGAAGTCATAACCAAAAACACCTGTGCATAGTTAGTTTTCTATGTTTGAATATAAAATCACGAATTCTTCCTTTTTTTCACTGTGAAAGTGATCCAGCTATTGACTCTAATCTTACAATTTAAAGATAATGTATAACTTCCATCAAGCAGAAAGTCTGTAATTATCATTTCCATAAAGAAATGTTTGCACAGATTCAGAGCATGAAGTTCCTAGAGCAAAACAAACAAAAAACAGGGGTAAAAGAAACGGCCACCACCAGTGGTGTACACCAATCCAGGATCGATGCTTCCAAAACAGCTGCTTGGAAAAACAAACACTTTTGTCCTGGATGGTTTATGTTAACAAAGGATGTTTTCGCCTTGGGAACCTGGACAGAGACCACTGCAATTAGTAAAGGCCAACACAATCTTGACATAACACACCTAAGGGGGGTGTGGGGATCTATTGGCTGTAGAAAACACCTGAACCTACAAAAACAAATGCTGCTGAACACGTAGCTTAATGTGTTGACAGGATTTCTCACAGTCAGCCTGAGAGCTTTCTGTTGGTGGTACGGTAAGGAAGGTGGGAAAATGTCCAGATTACCAGGATTGAGACTTCCGAAAGAAGGGTTACAAGTATGCATGGTAATATGCTGACAGTGTAAAAAGTTGTCATATGTTTCCCTTTGATCGACTTTGCTATCAATGTTACAGGGAAAAAACAATTTTTTGTAAGCATATCCATGTATCTAATGAGTCAACAGCACATGGATACTCTTTCATGTTCTTTCAATGGCCAATTAGATCACTCTCACATAAAGTGTTGCCTATTAAATCAAAAGATCATCTTCCATGTCTTCTTATGTTTTTCATTATGAAGACCAGTATGCTGCAGTTTTAAAATCATTTTTGATGTTTGTATCTTTTGCATTGACTTACAAGACTTTAAAGGCCCTTACAAACGTCTTCACCTTTACAACCACTTCTAATGACTAATGGTGTCAGGAAATTATGCCTCACTTCACAAGGTACATATACAGCAAGTGCAACTATTCAATCTCGTCCAGAGAGGCATGGAGACCTAGTTTTTCTTGCGAAAAGGTATAAGAGGGACGTCACGTATTTTGTACCGAAACAGTCCGGGACTGACGACAAAACAGCAGTGGACAATCACTTGACGTTGTTGCCACAACAAATGGAGTTGTTTATAACACTTACTTGATACCATGAGTACTGCAACCTCCTCATGGACAATGGAACAAAGGCTCCCTAAGGGGAAATGTACGAGAACCAATAGACCAAACAATGGGGAATCAACTCAACATACAGTCAAGCCGGAAAGCACACTAAATTGAATGCTGAATGAAGTTCATACATGGGTTGTAGAACCGTTTCATGTGTGACATGGTAACATCTCAATTTAATCTCTTATTTTGGCAATCACAAATCCAAAGTGCTGTTCAATCATTTAAAATGCATGAAAAACAGTACTTTAAGATCACATTTAATATCAATCAGAGATAACAAAATTTATGTCAGAAGTACAGGTTTGTCTCACTCATTCATTCACCCAGTCCTGAAGTTGCAGTATATAGGGGTAGATTGTCTCAGAACAAACAATGTAATTCCTAAGCTAGCTTCAGTATTGTGTGAACATACACCACTATAAACCTTGTGTGAATGCGTGAGGAACACCTTTATGATCAGAATGGCTATTGTCATGAAGTGGGTCAATTTGCCAGACTCTGTCAATCTGTGGTCATACAGAACGCTTTGTTACAACAGACAATGGGTTGTGGGGACAAGATTCCACAAATCCTACCAGACAGAAATACTAGTACCACACCACTCCTAGATTAAGGAATTCAGAAATGACAAAATTCCATGTAATTTTCATATTAAATCTTAGTAGTAACAGATTTCATCTTTCTGAAGAAAATCATGATAATCAATCATTAAAATGCTATAATCATCTTTGGTATGATTCCACACAGGAAGTACAGAGGGTCAGTGATATTTATAAGCAAATTGATGAATCTGTTCTATTAAACCATTTGTCAACACAAGGGACATGTTTTACAGATTTACTGATGAAACCTGTAGTATACAATCTGTAAACATTACATTAAGAAGCATCGCTTTCGTTTGTTTCCTGATTTGACAACTACACAAACAAATATTTAGGTTTGTGACCTTTGGGCGGAATATTTGAGTTGCTATGGCAACAGATGATTTGTCTAAAAATGTCTCTCTCATCTGGTGTCACCTAGCAACAGAATCAACACTGTGATTGGTGATTGGACCGCTTCTGGCGAATGTAGGGCTCAATCAAATGTACTATTCAAAGATCTTTTGCCCTAATATACCTCATAATTTTATTTCATCTATTCACAAATATATTGAAAGTCTGAAATAGTACTGGAAAAATTTATTTAAGGGTCAACTTAAAACACACTCTGACTGAGAAAAGTTAAAAGTCAGTATATTTGACAAAATTGATTTAAAAAGCTATATGTACGTTGTGTAAATCATTTTCTGTAGCTTTTTCTGTTCCACTGAGCCATTTTTGTTTTATTCCCTATAATCTCAATACTTCGTCAGCAAATATCCAGACATACTAGTACAAAATACCCTGGCAATCATGGGTGCAGACTGAAGAGCATCTTTGACAAGAAAAACTCCTTACATCAATTGGTGTTTACTTAACAAAGAGAAGGGATCAACCTAAGTAACCTGAAATGACCACCTTGGAACATAATTCTCTCAGCAGACATCATTCAGCCATTACAGTAGGAAAACAGTGGACAGGATTCCCAGGTAGTTAAAACAAGCACACAGAATCTTTTAATTACTGGGTTTGGACAGGATAATACAAATCTGCTCAGATTCCATTCAAATTGCAATCACTTGTGCTGATCTTTTCTTTTAACCAGGGAAATGTGTTTTTATAGGACACACATAGGGATACAGTACAGCACACTGGGCACATTGTGTTGGGCACTTGCTGAGGTGGGGAGGGGGGCACACGGCAGGAAGACAGACAAAACAGTAGTTATGACTATTAGTATGACTTAGACACAGCAGATATAAAAGAACAATTGCCTATGTGTCAATCTTTAAGCTACACACATTTGTCAATCTGGGAGTGTGTACTTACCAAGTCTTGGCTTCCGTCTGGTCCTTTTCTCCAGGTATCCTCTGATATCTTTCGCCTTGTTCCCTCTCGATATGGCAAGTTCTAAGGGAGTCTGGTCCAGTATATTGGTCCTGTTTGGGTCGTACCCATTTTCCACAAGTAGCTGCATGGTGCTCAGGTGTCCGTTCCACGTGGCGAGCATCAGCGCGTTCCATGCCGTCATGTCGGGCGTGTGGGGCGGCTGGAGCCCGCCGGGATCGATGGGTGAGAGTAACCGCACCACGCTGTCGTGGCCGTACATGGCACCGACCATGAGCGGCGTGATCCCCCACTGGGTCTCTGCCTCGCTGATGTCCGCCCCCGCCTCCAGCAGCATGTGGATGACGTTGGCGTGACCGCCGCGCGCCGCCAGCGTGAGCGCCGTGGCCCCCAGCTTACTGCGATGGTTGAGGTTTGCCTTGTTCTGTAGCAGCAGCTCCACTGCACTCAAATGGCCATTCCTGGCACCCTGAAGAACACACACATTACACAAGTCAGTTGAGATATAACTTATAAGCAGGGCTTTCTCCAAGCAATGAAGCAAGGGTGCTCCCCCTCAAGCTCTCCCCAAAACCTCACCAAAAATGTTGAATATTTTCATAAAAATTCACTGATTTTTTCCTCAACCAATTAGGCAGCACCTCTTCCCTCAGAATTTCTAGGGAGACCCCTGTGTAAGTTCATAAATCATAAATACAGTAAATATACTGGGCTGTGCTTGCTATAATTCTTGAGCGTATATTTCTAAAATTACTGTAGTAACATTTGAATTGGTGGTGATAGTGGTCATTCTTGGGTCCAGCACAATATTACCTACTAGTATCCATCTAGTAGGTAATATTGTGCTAACATTATACTGTGGTATTCATCATCATCTGTGGTATTACCGTAATATTAACTTGGACTTTGAAATGTTACCATTGAACAATTATTGACCTTCCATGACCTTTCTACTCTCCCCAGCAATATCAATCAAAAGGTCATACTCAAAGGTCAATGTGTGGACTGTATGTGTCAACAAAGTTTCTATGTACACAAAGGAACCCTGTACGGTACACAGACATACACATGCAAAAATGTACCCTCACAGAATTAACTGGAACACTTCAGAATTGGTCGAATATCTCAAAAGGCAAGGAAATTTCATATGGATACAGTATTGTGTTGCAGATAACATTTTTTTTCAAAATCTGTCCTATGCTTCAGAAACTGACAAGTTCTTCAGTTTTGCCCTTCTTAGCCATAGCACAATCTGAATTTTTCTTTTGGTGACATTGGTGATTGAACCTTTTTAACCAATCCCATTATATAGTTGGCTCCAGATTGTGTATGTCACAATGTGAAAACTATATTGTAAAGGTGAAAAGGTCAGAGTCTGACGCCTATGCAAATTGCCAAATGTTTCTCCCCTGACAACATGTTGTAATTTGCAAAATGTCACAATTAATGAGCTTTCACCAGAAGTCAAACTCCAAATGTCAACAAATGGATTTATCATTTCAAACACTTCTCTCTACACAACATTTAAATAAATCTCTCTATCCAATAAATCTTTCAATCACTTTGAACTAAATCTTGAAAATATACTGCTGGATCACCTTGCAACTAAGATTAAGATACTACATTAGATGATTTTTCAAAAGCCAAATGTTTCTTGCAGTATATGAAAGGAATGAGTTGCTAGAGTGTTGTATACTCAATCTAAACATGGGAGTGATGATCTTTAAATCTATAGGAGACACTGAGAGGGAAACTTATAATGATGCATTGATACACTTGGCAATATCATCGCCAATATGTATGTGCCCAGATATCAGATAATCTGTGACATACAAAGCACAAAGCTTCAGTTAGACATTCTCTCCTACAATTGCCAAAAAAGTTACTTTAAAATGCAAGCAGTATATCATTTATTTCACAAATAGAGTACATCTTATTACCCTATTCTAAGTATGATGAACTTGCAATCCTTCACTTAGAAGTTCTAACAAATCTTGGGTAAAAGCTTTTATAAAAGTTTAAACACTATGTATGGAACTGCTGCCAAGTGGCATTGGGACTACGTAGTATAATGTTACTGAAAGGTCTATAATGTCCTTGGCCATTGTGTTTTGACTAGAAGTACCAAGGCCATAAGCATAAAAGCTGAATTAGAAGTCACATCACAATTCTTATGTAGACTGAACAAACATTATAACTTATATAAGTCCTAGATTTTGACACACGTATTAAAAATTAACAAGTACATGAGAGTACTTGGACTTGTGCAGTGATACATTGCATTGTATGTAGTCATATCCTGTGCTTTATCATTTATGAATCTTTGATGGGATGGTAAGATGGCACACAAATGTCCCACGTCAGTTAAGTCACTTCTGAAAGTACATCATTGTCAGTCCCTATCAACATCTGCGTGACCAGACATCATGGCCAGCTCAATTATATTCCTGTCTTCTTCAACAGCAGTGTCAATTGTTAACGTGTCAAAACAAAACTAATCCAAAGGTAAGGCTTGTTACATTACAATCGTATATAACAGTTCCATCTTGGTGTGTGACTTTGCTCAGTTTATTGTGTTTCTGCTTGTTTGGATCACTCAGTTTTAGTGTTTTCTGTTGTTTCTCACAATCCACTGCACGATAAACAATATGACGATAGTCAGCCAGACTGTTACGTACAATTTCGCCACCGCCGGCAAGCCCAGCGGCACTGTCGTCATACCCCGCTCGTTTTCGTCCCACGCTCCGTGCCCCAAAGGCGAACAGTGCAATTGTCTGTATAATTACATTGTCCTTTTAGTAACTGGTCTTTCTTTTTTCGTCCCCTTTGCCGCAAGGGCAGACTCCGAGACACTTGTAGCAATATGGTAGCGTCCCAAAAATAACATTTTTGAAGTGGATTTCAACACATAAATACCACATAGCCTGTGACTTCCTGTCTGCATTGCATGACATTTAGTCTAATGTCAGCAGACATTTCTAATCCCCTATAACACCTTTTGCCAAGTGCTCGCCACAAAGAACAATAGAGACAGTGTAATCTCAGGTGTGGGACGGATATGTTGTACCTGTGTGTCACTTCATGACAGGTATGCTTATCCTGCCCTGCACACCTGATGAAGATATCTCACTTCCTGTTATTGTTTACAAACAATGGCAAGGTGTGGCTTTGCATTAAGATTCCTTAGTTATAACCAGCTACAAATCCATCAATGTCTTCCCAACAGGACTCCAATACACATTAAATAATATATCATACGTTTTGAATAACTCTCCAGTCTGACATCTCAGTGTTATCTGTACATAATGTACAACCATGTAATCTGTTGTCAGCTGCATTTAAGTTGTTCACACATTCTTTGATATGCATATTTTGGAAACTGACACCTTTCTTCGATTTCCTCTCACTTTTTTCGTCGTTTCAAAACGGGACTATGCGGATTAAACTGTGCTCAGCTCATCTAAAGTTGGTCTTATCTTCCTGTAAAACAGCCTGTGATGTTTGTAAATGTTGTTTATGAACTGTTATTTGTTGTTTACCTGTAGGAGTGGTGTCCATCCGTGGTGGTTGGGTTTCTCCAGCGCAGCGCCCCGCATCAGCAACAGGCGCACCACTGAGTCCTGCCCGTAGGCCGCGGCGGTCTGCAGCGGCGTCACGTCCTCGTCATCCGCGGCGTCCACCGGTACCCCCTGGTCCAGCAGGGCCTGCACGGCGGCCAGGTCTCCCTGCTCACAGGCCCGCAGGAGGGCCTGCACGGAGGCCGTGGACTGGTCCATAGCGGGCCGCTAGGTCCTGCTGCCTGCCGCACCTCTCATCTCATCTCCAAAACATAGTCAAAACACTGCCATCAGATCGTGGCTCTAAACAAGGGAAAATACCTCCTCTCGGTCACTGAACCACACCAGTCGGCCTCAGTTATAATCTGTCCTCCCTATGCTATGTTCTTACAGGGCATTGACCATCTTAGAAGGGAAATATCGCCCAGTTTTTGCCCAGACTTCGCTTCCGTCTCGTTGATGTCCGCCATGAAATTCCAAACTCTGACGTCAGGCGCCGTTCCCATAATGCAGCAGTTCAAGGTCCCGCTATCCACGGGACAGCGCCGACTAGTGATTACTGATATAACTGCAGTGTATGAAGCATGGGACGGTGACATGGTAGAAGCGCCTACCAACGGTGAAAAATATTATTGCACCATGAAAATAATTTCACCATGCCATTTTAGCTCCATCATCACTGCATTTTCAGTTTTGAGGATGGGAAATACCAGTGATTTGAAAGATATTTTGAAGAAAATCAGAATAAAAAGAAAAAAAATTCCCTTTTTCACTCAACATCATTACCATTTGGCTGTGCTCTCCCTGCAGCTGTGATGTTGCTCCCTGAATATCATATTGTTATGGTCATTATGAAGTTCTTAACTGGTACAGTTTTCTGCTGTTACAGACAAAGGTCTTTTCCTGTCATATTAATACCGTCCTTACTTAACCTTACACTACACATAGCTGAATATGGCCTCCCAAACATTGCCAATCTCCCAAGGTCAGCTAGTAGCTGGCTGGTGTTCAGCAAGGTCAGCTAGCTACTATTTGGGGGCCAATTCATATAGGAAGGTAGGCGTGACTCTGGCCAGACTGCTCCCGACTTTTGTCATCCTGGGGGGAAGGTTCTGAATGTGTGTCCGGGGCTTTAATAACTGTACTTAACTGGCCTGGGCACAGTTTCAAAGCTAAATTCACTCCATCTGATGGAGATGCTCTAAAATATAATACATTTGTACTGTATTTACCATTTTATTCCAATTTGGACACATGGCCACAACAAGTGTAACAATGAAACAAAACTACATCATAATTAATTTACAATACATTTGAACACATCCAGCTGCAAATAATGAAGAACAGTCAAATAGCTCATTGTCCACATATGGTATTTTATTGCATTGTTATGAAGGATACAACAATAAATACCCAAGTATTCACAAAATTCCTTCTTCCAAAATGATTAAGACATATAGGACATCTCCAGGTAGACCTATATGACTGTTGGTTGTCTCCAAATGATAGGCATAGTACACATAAGGGGACTGTTCAAGAATTAAGTACATGTACATAGCAATAAAAATAGATTAAAACCATACTCTACCACTAGACTGTATAGTGAATGTCTAGTATCTACGTACAGGTCAAGAACTATAAATGAATGTGATGCTTTATATGATAACTTGAATGGTTCTGTTACATATCTGTAACCAAGGAACTTTAAACTGTGCTCCTTGCTGTTAGAAATAGCTCTCTCAAATCCTCGTGATTGTGAAAGCATTTGGTACAAAAGTCTTAAGATCTACCAAAATTCTAAAAAGTATCAAGTCATGACATGTTTTTCCACTGAACATCAGGGCAACCAACGGTAAAACATACTTGTGTACGAGTTTCTTCAAGGATTGGTTCTGGTACAGTGGTCTTGTTCACAAAGTCACTACTGAGTCTAATACTGAAGCAGGTGTTTCAGTTTAAATTTTGTAAGTGAAGAAACCGAGGTGAGCCTTGATTCTTCATCTTCTGTTGGATGAACAAGCTGCTAGATCACATGGTCTGGACACCAGCAGAGTTGAGATGAATGGGAGACGTTGATTGGTTGTTGTGGGTCACATGATTGGAATGGCCTTCAGCAGAGTGATCTGTGGGAGTTGATTGGCTGATGTAGATCACATGACTGGTTTGGCTTGTTGTGTGAGGAGCAGACCAAACCTCTTCTTGATGGTGATCCTGTGTCTGGAGTACTTGTCATCTGGTGAGAACCGGGCTGTAGCATGGGAGAAAGGCAGCATAGTTCCAAATTAGTTGTCCGTATCTGTATCTGTATAGCTGGTATAACTGCTTCAGCGTAACACAGCAGCTACATCACAGTCATACTGATAGAGTCACAGAGTTGTGACTCAACAAGCCAATAATCTTTTTGTCATTTATTTTTGTACTGTACAATTTTTCCCATTTCTATAAATCATGAAATGTTTGTGTCAAGTTCCTGAAATCATTACACCGTGAGACGTGAGTATGCATTTGCATTTCTGTTGTATTACAGAACAACTGTTTCAACTGTGAAATTCAAACAACACGTAAAACTTCTTTTCCCCATACCACGAAATACTAGTAAGACGCATGTGAAAAAAGTAAATATCTTCACAGTATTTCTAGATGGAATGGCAGCTTAGATTTCAGTATGCTTTAACAAATAATTTCAAGTTGCAGTAATTCTCTGTTGCGAATGCTTGTGGACATTTGGTAAACAGGGTCTTATTTTCTTTTAATAAGGCAAAGAATAAACAATTACTAGCATCTTCTCACCTGGATGTGCAGACAATGTTGGTTTCCCATGTGGATCCACCTTCTGTAAGAAAATATAGAAAGACATAATTTCATGTGACATCCATAAATTTATGTCTTCGTTACTCTAATTTTTGCGTTATTTTTTGGAAAGTCAACATAATAATTCAATAGACGATGTTGCTTAAATGTTTTATATGAGGATGTACCAATTACCTCCCTCTGAAACTGAGTATAGGGGTCTAAAACGTGATTTGTAAAACTATGATACATCATGGTAAAAAAAGCTTACTTTTCACATGTGCCCCCCTCCCCACGTTTGCAACACAAATTATAACATGCGAGTTAATTTTCACCAATAATCCAGATTTTCAGGGTCAGAGAGATGCCCCAGACAACAACCATAACCTCTACTTACCTTCAGAGTGTACACCCTCTCCCCACCGTCCCCTAGGTAGTAATACAGGAACATTTTCGTGCACAGGAAAGCTCTCACGTGTACCCAGGTGAAAAACAAAGATGGCGGATGCAAACGCACGCTTGTGCGCATGTCATTACGTGCGTGAATGTCTCAGCACAGTTTATACTATGAGGGGATTGCGCAACGCCCAACCGCCCGGTTAGCTCAGCTGGTAGAGCATCAGGCTTTTACGCCTGCCACCTGAAATGGTACCTGAGGGTCAAGGGTTCGAGTCCCTTATCGGGCGAAGAGTTTTTACCTGAAACATTGAGCCCAACCATTTTACCTTTACCTCCAGGTGTCTTCCGGTAGTCGTGGTTTTGTGCTCTGATACCGCATCGTGTCATGAAGTGGGTGATAACTACCTCCATGTACAGACTGATAAAAGCTTTTATGTAAAACGCAACCCACGCAGTCATCCTTGCAGGTGGAAGGCAATGTTGGTTTGATTATATGGATTATTCGTCCGTTTGCCAAAAAAAAGAAGAGTCTTCGACCATACAGTAAATCGTACAAAATAAGGGAAATTTATGTCATATGTTGCCAAAAAAATATTGTGAAACGGTACTAATGTCAAAGAACGCCGAAATCAGGAAAAGAAGAAAATGTGAAGAAATGAAAGTGAAGAGTCTATTATTATTATTCGCCATATCATACTAAATACAAGAATCGGTTAACCAGTCAAATAAGAAACTGTTCCGATCTTGTAATAACTTGTAACGTTTCTTGTCGGAATTCCCACTGAAAACAACGCTGCATTCATCAAAGAAAATAAAGTAATCCTTCTGTCGATCTTGGGGACAGAAACAAGTAGCTTGAATTGTGGTTTCTTTTTGAATGACACTGATACTCAAATAAATTAGTGACGTGGGTTCGGGTTACGTTATTGATTGCTGAAAATTCGCAAGGTGGCGCTGCTACAAACCACACAGCCTTGTCAGAAAATCTTTGCCCCGGGGCGTTGGTGTGACACTCAAATAAATCAAAATACAATGCAGTGTGGCAGGCGGTTCAACCTTTACTTTTTGTATTCGCATTGTGGACCAGACAATTATTACATATTATAAACAAGCTTTTGCACTAATTGTTTAACAAGCTTTTGCAGACACTTCAAGCAATGCCGTCTGAAAGTGTCATTCTCTCTGAATATTTGTTCTGAGTCTTTTGGGGGTACCAAGGAGTCTAGAGTCTATTTGAAGCTCCTTGGGGGTACATTGCAGAGTACAGATGTGACACTATATCAACATCTGTTTGGAACGAATCGTGGCCTGTCAGCTAGGAATAGGAATAGGTTACTGGGAGGTTAGAGGCGGTGGAAAGGCCATGGTCATGCTGGTGATGTTACCCATGGTCTAGACGTCTATAAGAAAAGAAAGCGGTTTAATCTATAAGCAATTCCTTACTTTTATCTTGAGCGCTGAAGTTGAGGGAGCGAAGTTAAGACCGTTGAAGTTATTATTACTTTTAAAATAATATGTTTTTGTTTACAACCACCATCGCTATACAGCGGGTCTGTGCATGAACGCATGTGCCACTCACACACCAACAGTTTGTAAGGCCACTGACCCGGAAAAGTGACATAATAGACAGATTAAATCGGACAGATGTACCGGCTTAGTTCTAATTCATACAAACTACATTATAGAAAATTACAGGTTACCGCAAGGCCAATTCTCTTCATGTTACATAGTCAGAGCATCCCAAACATTGTCATTTTGTTTGTGACGGTTTGGAGGAGGTGTCTATTGCAGGTCAATTAATAGTTTCAACAAAGTAAAGTATGGGGTATCCTTCATAGGTTGTCACTGCAGACCAGCCTCAGGGCATGTGGGCAACACAGGGACAATAGAGTAGAGTTGCCAGCATAGCCCTAGGATTCTTAGAAGGTAGTCCGCACCAACTGGGATCGCACTTCTGTAAACAGATCTAGAGTTGACCAACCTGTTTGCCTGCCATGATTTATAGAGATCATAATTGAGATTATCTGCTACAGGTAGATACGGAAGGGAAGGGATGGCTTTGTACAACATTTTGTTCTTTGAACAAAAACAATACCGATGATACGTTCAAGGACAAGGAGTGGGAAAACATTTACAGCATTGGTTTCCATACTGGATAATCCTGCAAGGTCTGCAGCAGCGTAATTACGCTGCAACAACTAGGAGATATATCACGTAAAATAATGAGCCATCAAGAACCTGCAAAGATTCCAAGTAGTGTGTGTATTGAAAATTACAAAATGTATGAATGTTGTTCTCTTGTCTTAGTCCTTATATTCATTAAGCCCTTGCGAATAAATAGAAAATGATAGATATCATCCAGACAACATAGCTAATATAGTACTAGTATGAGCCATATTGTCCAGAATCATAGTTATGATTCGCAAGTAATACATACGTACATATTGATCATTACGTATTATGTTACCACTGCGTAATTATAAATGAACGACGTTTCACTGAGTACGAAACAAAGTGAAGTATAACAGCTTCATAACTTTGTTTTGATGGAGAACAGCAGTAAGTAGACTATACCACCTGCCACAAGCCCAAAACATAAACATATTCTAACGCTTTTCCACGGCTTCCGTTTTCCGTGTTAAAAACATTCTTTCGTGTACAGCTTAAGATATGCTACGCACGTCTCCTATAACCAAGCCACGGCTGCACCACATCCGTTACAGTTATCAGATGTAAATTCTTCAGCGGTTCTTTTTTGAAGAATGTATACAAAATCTGAAGGCGGCAACACTGAGGATTTACACTATTTTCCCCCGTCTGATACAATCAAAGTCCAGCTTCCCGCGAAAGCTTCTCGCGACTTCTCACGAACATTAGCCGTACGATTCGCATCTACCCGCTGGGGGGTCCCGCCTGTCAATTAAGATCATTTCACAACATGTACAGGAACCTGTGGGGATAATGATTGACACCTGAAGGCCAAGCGGCGATAAGATACTATAGTACATTATTGTTAACATGTTGTCAGTGCCAAATACGTCTTCTTGGAAATCCTTAGGCCGGCGTACGGCCGTATCAAAGTTTCTAAGAGACGGCCAAACCCGACACCGAGTTGACAACAGACGACGCCGATAGCAAAAACAGGAAAATAGAATACCGATATGATATTTTAACTACAGTTCAAGTCGATTCAGGTGAGACAACTAACAAAACACAACCTAAAGACATGGGTAAGTCCCAATTCATTCTAGTGTTGGCAGAGGAAGTTAAGTCTTTATTTCATGTTAACACAGATGAACTTTCATGCTAAAACCAAACCCTATCATGTGTATGTATATGTCCGAAATATGATACAGTAACACAATTATAGCATGCAAAAGAACCCCGCACGTTGTATATGTATATATATAGCAGTACATGTCGGGAGCCGCAAGATCTCGTTTGTTCCTCAAAACAAGATGGATTGTTACACAGTTGGTTTTGAAACGGAATCTTAGTCTCAATCAGAATCTGACGTTTCATGCTGTTTATGTAATGTCCCGATATCATTTCAGCCTTTGGGCTGCCATCTTTGGGACACTGTTGATGCAAATGCAAATAAACCATTGATATAATCTAATGCATAAGGATTGCCGGAAAATCCTTATAGTAGAAACTGGCCGGCCAAACTAGTTCGAATGACAAAGGACTTAGGACTAGATCTAGATTTTGCAAAACTATTTTCCAGCAATCCATCGAAGTCTGGCATAGGTAACTAACAAAATATTACTTGGTTTTTGTTTTCTACCATAAAATTACCCACTCATATAATAGGAAATATATATCGGCACTCTGCACTCTGTAATGTGGTAACTCGTACTTATATAATGTTAAAAGTCTCCTTCTAGGCCACAGCGAACGACCGCAGGTAAACCCGTATGATGTAACAAGCATGTTTTGGTGGAAATATGCTTTTCGTGTTATTTTACACAGATGAATGTCAATCACCATGGGAATCAGGGGAAAACACTGTTCTAAATACACGAGCAGTTCAGAAATGTGACCTGTTGACTTTTTAAAATTAGCCTCTACCAGGCACCGCGGATTGCTGGAAAAAATAGTAGAAATTGGCCGAAATAAAGGGAATACTATACAAGGAGAGTTGGCCGGCCCGAGAGGGTACATTTTGCGACCCACGGATTCCCTGGTGCCTGGTAGAGGCTATTTCACGACGAAAAGCTTGGAATTCCTTTGATTAGATTTGATGCCTCACATGTAGCGAGCATATCAGAGAAAAATCATTTTTATATAATATTTGTTATAAGGAAAACTTAAAATACAAAGTTTTTTGTCGCAAATATGTCAGAGCTGCTAAACTCCATGCAAATCTTACCATGTCAAGATCAGTACATGTACATGTACTGTAATAGACTCAAGACAGTAGTGATGTTAGCAGGTTAATTCTTACCATCTGTACATTTAATGAAGTCCCATTCATCACATACGTCACATTTTAGGTGTTTTCTTTAATGAAAGAATTGACCTATGGTCATTTTCATGCTTTCTTTCGCAATGTTGATTTATTTTCTCAGAAACGTTAACTTTCAAAAGTAGGCATTTCCCTGTTTCTTCACTTTCGTCCCCTGTATAAAGCGTCCGTCGGTGCATATCTCAAGCCCAGAAGACATGGACAAATTGTTTCTCTGACCCTGCCCATAAATTTCGTAAAGATGTGAGAAGTATGCGGTTATGGTGATTAAGATGTGGGGTTAGGAACCCCCAGTGGCTGTTCAATAACTCTATTCCGTCTATGAATCGGGTGTCTGGATGAAGGAAAATGTATCCATTCTAAAATACTCAATAGTCACTCTAAGTAAAATCGAATGCCATTTGTAAACATGCACACACTGCCACCACAATACACACTGTTAAGATATGCACATCTAGGGATTGATCTATCATGCCTGGTTTGACAACTATGACAGTTGGTTATATATGATTCATTTGAGGTACAGATAACGAGGACATATTCCCTTTCGCCAATGTCTAAGCAGATGCGATTTAATGCAGGTATTATATAATGGATGTTCCGAATTTACAGCTCTCTGAGGAAGCCGCTGTCGTCACTGCGAATTAGCCTCACACGACGTTTAATATAAGGCGGGGTTACCTTCGGCCATCCACTCTGGCCTAGAAGGAGACCTTCGACCTAATTTAAGTACGAGCTACCGCATTACAGAGTGCCAATACATCTCTTACATTATAAGTGGGCGATGTTATGGTTTGTAAGGATGTAACGTCAAGAAACATAAAATGTCGCACGATCTCATACCTCCGTCAGATGACGATAGCATTTACAACTGACGAATTGTAAATATTTCTCATTGGTTATGTAAAAAAGAGAGACTCCGATTTGCATCCAGTATGTCACTCAAGTTGATCTACTGTGGAAGTTCCTCATAAATTATGCAAATAAATGAGGTGCTGATTTGCGTACGTTATGTTTAATGTTGTTCGTATTGCGCTACAGTAAGATCTTCCAAAAACTAGAAGCGGAATTCCCGAGAGCATACAATGGACGAGTTTCCAACGGCTGCCATTTCAACAAAGATAACCTTCATATAAGCATAAGATTGAATTCTCCCGCGCGCAAGTGAAGCCATTGTTTGGTCGACAGTTATCGCCCATGACAGATAACTAATTCTAACCAGCTCCGTGTCCCAAGTTTGCAGTCAACCACCTGGACGCTAGCCTTGCATTACTGGTCTCCTGGTGTCATAGGCGACTTCTCGGAAACCGCTGTATGGACGACAATTGGGTTTCCTGGGGAAGTTGACAACATCGAAAAGAACGTCTAAAACACCAGGGAGACCGTGAATAAAGGACCCTTTGTGAACTTTCCATCGAGGGATACTTAGTTTTCAATTGGCTGTAGTAGGATATTATCTTTTTTCATTTTCTAAAGGTGCGCGAGAACAGATACAATATCTTTGAAAATAAAGATATGGCTATTCATATTTTCCACTTCGTTAGAAAGATATCCAACATGTAATATTGACATATTCTCGCATCAGAAAAAATGCAACACAGATCCAGACGACTTTTTGGAGTGTTTCTTGTCCGCTTTGAATTTCTTCCGATCATGTTTCAAAGTACGTAAATCCTTCACAGCTATAAATATCACTGCGGCTATTTTATTAAAAACACAACTTGTCACCGACTGCAAAATGTCTGAAACTGTAGAAGGTAGCCGGAAAATGAAAGTGAAATTATATTAAATGTGAACATATAATAAACGGCGTTTGATAGTTCTATAAAACAATGTTCGCATTAAGAGTTGTAGAGCAAAATGGCTACAGTAAAGGTAAACAGATTAAGTACTGGTTCTTGTTCTCCTTTCTTGAGAGAGAACTTGCATAACGGACAGCATATCATTGTGTTCAGTACATGTACAAACGATAGGTGCCTTTGTGTCGATATCTTGGTGCGCTCCTTGATATCATGATGTCACTTTCATTTCCACTTTCACGTTTAAAGGAAACGCCCGTTGTAAATGTACTGCATGAATGAGAGACATTGGCACATTCTCAAGATCTTAACGAAGAAAACACTTCCAGGAACCGGATCTCCATAAAAATTGTAAATCACCAAATCCGAAGAAATCTGGATTGAGTTGAAAAGGCTTAGGCCTCCTTCGCAGACTTGTGGAGCGGTGGCGTTAATTTTTTTTCAGGGAGCGACGCGGACTTCTGCCGTGGAGGGATGGTTTTGCCACCAAGGGAGTTTGAATGGGAGAGAGTTTTTTCGCCCAACTCTCTCCCCGGCAAAGTCCTAGTCGCCACCAGACTCCTACACGGAGGCAAAATTGAGCTTCTCTGGGCGGACATCTCCTCTGTCTCCTCTGGCCAATGATATCCCCTTTTTAGGCCGATTTCTACTATTTATTCAGCCTGCAAAGGAGTCGGGTGGAGACTAGCAAAGTCCCTCGGCGGCAAAAACGTCCCTCCGTGGTATCGCTCCCCGAAAAAATAATCAACGCCACCGCTCCACAAGTTTGCAAAGGAGGCTATAGAAAAGACTGGGGCTTATAGATGGTGTATACGAGGTGTTTCCGTCGCACTTTTGTCACGTCTGTCTTGCTGCATGTTGAGGGTAGAAACGGTCAGACCATTTATAAACAGCATTTCTCACTGGCACTTTTACAAACTAGGTGGTCATCCCCTTGTCAAATATATAAGCCCGCCGTAAGAGATCTGTATACATACTGACATGCGACGCGCTGTATATAATGCACAAGCTCAGTGTGCATCGAGAAACTGTCAACACTAGGCAACTCAATAGCAACTCACTAGGCTCTTCAGGGCCGAGTTGGACTTGTAATGCATTTACAGTGAGACATAGCTCTCCGGAGAAACTTTTTGCACAAACTCTGACAGAAGAGAAATGTTTTGAAACACGAACTTTGCTGACAATGTTCATTGTTGACAAACAAAAAGTAGAAATATGTAAAGCTATTAGATGACCGGAGAAAGAGAAAATACTTACGCTTTCGATCTATGATTAAATCGAGTTCCGAACGCGTTTCCATCGTAGATATGTATCTACTCGTATTATTAACCACTGTGTCTAAGGCGTTTTTATTACAGAAAAGGTGTTAACGTACGTCTAAGCCACGGGCAAAGGGAAGATTTAAACACCTCGCAACACCCGTCTGGCAAGGAAAGATAAGCCGGGCACTACTAACCCCAAGGTTACAATACCTGACATACTGCGGTTTCACGGTTGTTGGAATATAAATGTAGTGGATGGTTAACGTTGGAGTTGAGTAACACCCACACACAACACTTACACAGACTATCATGATAGAGTACGGCATTGCGTCAGTCTTTCCTCTGGGCGCTTTTGTAAAATCCCAACACGAACGCTGCGGCTACATCCAACACCTTGATAGACTTTGGCATATACGAGAGATACTAGCTATTCACGTTTTGGTTGAGCCAAATGGATTTTAGAGTGGACGCCCCTTCGGCGTACCTGAAGCGATGTGCGTAAATTTCCCTATATATCTGGATATTGGCCGACTACTGGTAAGTAAGCCATCTTCTCAATTGAGAATGCCATCACGTACTTGAACTTGGCGCAGTGACGAGGACAGACCACAGCTGAATCCACGCGATAGGTAAAGTGAGATGGAAACTTGTCAGGGGCAGATCCCACCGGACCAACTGTCGGCAGCAACTGTCGGAAAATTTACGTCCACACAAATAATCGGACCTTTCACCAACGAATTAGTCGCTTACATTAAAGCAGAATAAATACGGTAGGATTTGATAGCAACATTCTACTAGCATTGAGCTGGTCAAATAGCTTAGTCTCCATGCCATCAGACTCCTTTTGCAGGCTGAATAAATAGTAGAAATCCGCCTAAAAAGGGGATTTTTATTAACATAGCCGTGCAGGCAAAATGGAGCTTCTCAGGTCGGCCACCTTCTCTGGCCAATTATATTCCCTTTTTAGCCGATTTCTACTATTTATTCAACCTGCAAAAGGAGTCTGGTGGAGACTAAAATAGCTAGTGATGGTCATATTTGTATACTTAAATTCAGTGCTATTTTCGTTTTATTCTTTGAAGGATTGTTCAGAGCTAGTTCCACATACGAGGAATCCCCTTCTGGCTTTCAAAATTGAGTGGTCTGTAAACCAGTGCCCGGGGGTATGATACAGCGATACAGCCTGTTTTACGACTATAAGCTCGTCAGTGGTAAAGCTAACATAATTAAGGATAGAGAGATAATACCAAACAGGCTTTTACAATGTAATTCCACCCAGCAAATCCAATACAGTTGTCTCGGGCCACAGTTTCGCAACCACTCTCATGTCATTCGATTTTATGCCGGGTAATCTAAAAGTTCTAGGGGGCAACGAACCCTCTCTAAAATGTCTTCTGAACGTTCCTTGTGAATTGAATTATCTCAGTCAACAGAGAGGGGGTAATTAGATTTGTACACAGGTCAGTACAGTTTATTGACCCTAGCGTTTGGAGAAATTGTACTCCCCCACCATTAGGGTAAGCTCGCTTCCGCCAACCATTTTTGGTACGAAGTACTGGAAGCACTGGTAGTACTTACGCCTGACCTTGTGTCCTTGCACCGAAACAACAACAATAGGCACTTCAGCAGGGTACGAAAGTCCGCGACCCCTTCAATTTGGCGTGGCGCCCTTCTGAGGCACCGTTTCGTACGGGGAAACCGTGTCTGATAGAAACCTCCCGCCATAGATATGGGCTTCTGAGAAGGAACCACTGGCTGAGTATAATTGCCCAGTATGCATGTGAGATAGGGAGAGTCAGACATTTCCAGAAGAAATCTACTGTGGTGTAACTACTACTAACTACTAAGAGGAAAATAATACAAAAGCTTTGGACACCTGTTGGATACAAAATAGACCTGGGCTAACTAAAACCTACCTTGCTTGGTACAAGACAAAACAAAATGAGCAATAAACACAGGCATGTCCCTTCTCATTGATCACATTTCCCGCTCACCATAGCTAGTGTGTATAGCAACGAAATGCAGTACAAAGATGCCGATGTTTTCACAGCGACGTCATTTTATTTGCCGTTTAAGAGAGAAAATGAAAGTATCTATTGCAGCGGTGAAGATAAGTTCTATCAGGCTTCCGTATATCTATTAAATCAATTTTGAGTGTTCCAAAGCTCACTACACTAAGTTACCGAAATTTGAAGCGATATTCACAGCAGGAATTTTGTTTATGAAACTTTGCCGGCAAAACTATTATGTCGAAAATAAAGTACAACATCACTGTGTTAATGTATTAGCAGCAAAATTCGCGAGAACGTGTAGACGTTCAAACCCTATGTATCATTTCACTGTCTGAAGTTAAGCTCTGAAATTCAAATGTTAATAAATATTTCTCATTGTCCGTAAGGATAGTCCTTGAGATACTTTTTGAGTCGTTCCGGTAAGGGCAGCTGTGTGACACGGTCCTCGGGGGTGTGTTTGTTGATCACCGTCCGACACAAGTGCTGAAGGTCGGGCACCTTCCCGAAAAGTGGCCGGGAAAATTTCACAGCGATCGCCCTTCTTCCGGTGGGCTCGAGCCAGTAATGTTTGGGTTTTTCCGCATTCGAGTCCTTCATATAGTGGTGGACAAGCTTTATTATACAGTCATATTCAGGCGAACTACCGTCCGAGTCCAGCCGAAAGTTCCCTTCCGGAGTGTAGTCGATCCGAACACTTGTTGTGCCTCTGGCGGTCCTTACGCTGATACAGAACAAGTAGGCAGAGTCACTACTATCGCGAAGCAAAAAAGTCCCCACTTCTTTCCGCCGGAGTAATTTCTTTGCCTCATCGCCCGTCATGGAGCCCCAGTACCATCCGCACGTCTCCAGCAAATGTACCGCTCTGCTTAGTCTCTGCAGATCGAACTCCGTGGTCCTGTGCAGGCCCGCAGTTGTCATTCCCTGCCGGCTAGCCACCGTAGTTTCCCGCTTGTTCCGGGGTGTGTTGTGGGTACATTCCATGGAAGTGCGTGGGTGGTGAAGGGTTGCCTGAAATAAACGCCTCTATTACTCGCCGAACACAATATGTACACGCGCGCAAGCTAGCTGCATTATCATAATGAATTTTCCGGTGGAAAAAAAATGCACACGAATGGAAGATATAAAATAACTTACCGGCCCGGAGGTATAGCCAGGTTCTGCTATCCACACAGCGAGCTGCCGGTCAGGTGCATGTATGGTCTCCACTGTGTAACTCTCACCTCGAACCTACTGAGCTTCTTAGTAATCCCAGCACAATACAAACACGCTTGTGTCATAATCCACGTGTCAAACATTTCTTCCACTGCTAAGGCGACAACCCTGCATTTCTTTGCGTGCGCCAGCGGGGACTTCCAAGAAAGCAGTATAAGTGAAAGTAAGCCGACGTCAAAAACGTGATTGGGCGTCAGTGCGGCCGCCAGGATTCGGCCTTTTACGCGTGCACGTATGGCACAGGTTGGTAAAAAACTCACTGGGGGAACTCCAATCGATTCTTGGAAAGCCTGGCATATCGTTATACAGGAGTTTGACATCTGACGAAGGTCAGTGGACGATACCAAAATAAAACAGAGGGACCGGATGTCTCTCGGCAACAAAATGGACTTTAGAGTTACTAACAAAACCACTTCCAGGCGTAACAAAATATAAGCTTACTGATTAACACAAAGCATTGCTGCTTTCCTTATGATATGATAATGTTGGTGTAATGCTTATACTGAGAACCCAGGAATGGCACATCCCAAACAATGCTACCGTACAGGCCCTGGTACTATCCCATTAATCAACCGGGTGTATCACAACAGAGCAGGTTGGTTAATTATGTGTAAGTAATGCACACAGACAGGTGTTTTGTGCACGTTTTAGTTCAGATGGCTATCTCTGAAATACTGGATAAAATAAATAACACCAAATAAAGTGCAAGGGTGAAAACTGCTTACAATGAACCATTCGATTTAAAGTCTATACAACACGATTTAACTCGCTTCAATTTGCTCTTGCAGAGATGTCATCCTAAATGATTAGAGCATAACGACTAGAGTTCTTCTGGGCCAGAGATAATATTTATAGGATTATATGTTCAGTAGTTATGAATGTGCGTTTTAAAATAGTCTCCCATCAGCCCTATGTTTAGTCCCCTTTCCAAATGAGAACCAATATGGCCCAGTATGTCGACGATTTGATCCTAGTATCAGATAAAGAGCTGAACTATAAACAGGAATATCCCGTTTTTTAAGTTTTATTCTATTGCTGTAAGAGCGTCGCCTACCGGAACGATTCAGTACAGTAGGCAGGTGAACGGTTTGACAAGGACAATTTGACAACGGCAGCTTGGCGGCACCGATAGAAGAAAAAAAACGTTGTTAATTATGGAAACGTGATACTAAGCGGATGGTCGATCGTTAAATGCATACTTTGCAGTGGTTTCCCTGGGGATGTTTGGGCTGGAAGTCTGCTGGCAAACCCAGTGCATACATATATAGACAACATATAGACGTCATTGACAAAACCCAGAATATTAGCCTTGGACAATTAACGAAAAGTGAGATGACAGAGTACAGTTGTTTGGAAGAACAGATTTCCGTAGCAAAGACCACATGAACGAAGTGTTCGGCTTAATTGAAGAAAAATGCACAAGGGTGCGTGCGCAAGCCATACCTTCAACGAGTATCTGATCGCCACAACAAGTCTGGTTTTCTCGTTAACACCAATTTGGCCCTGGTCTTCTATGGAGGTCATGTACATGTGTAGTCTACTAGCAGCCCTTCTCCTTCCGGGCCGGGGCTACATCCTCGATTTGCAACTGACACAGAAAGTCGCCACAGAACATGCCAGACTTCCAAATATTTTCATGCATAGAAAGTGAAATAGCGCCTATTTTGGATAATTAAGTTCTCGCTCCTATCATCTGGGATCTGCTAAAGAATCACTACCAATTCTTTTATTCTTAATACGCGGCTGGTTTTTGCTCCCGAACTACCTTTGAATACAGTGTTATGCGACCTTGAGTGTTTAAACATTTGGGGAGTGCTGTAAACCTAGCTTGCTGAAATTAATTTAAACCAAAGCGGTATCATGCAGGGCACGGTTACTTGAGTCGGCATGTTACCATGGGTCACTCCCACCAATAGACTCATTCCAGTTCCACGTCAATCAGCCAGGCGGCGCTGCTAAATACTCAGTTCAGTGTATTAGTACCTGAGAGCAAGGAGGTTAACCCTTTATCCTTGCTGAGACTAACACAAATTATGAAATTGGTCATCAGCCAATATAGATACCAAATTATCACCGGCGTTGTGCGCTCTCATTTGCCGCGCAACAATTGGACGTTATTTTCTAATAGCAACTTGAAGTTTCTCAGTCGCACTCATGATTGAGACCACCTGTTTTTCCCAGCCAGGTCGCCCTGAAGGCTTTACCAGGAAGTATTTGACCTCGGTGACCCTGAGATAAAATGCTGTCTTCTCGAGTGCCTAGACGTTATGTCAAGGTCATTCCCCGACGGGCTGGCCCGAGCTTGTAAGTAACACGGAGACCTTGACACTTGTGGTAAAGAGAAGAAACAGAACCCCTTGCATGCTGCATTTTCCCGTGTACACGGACACGACCGCAACATTTCACGCGTGCTTGGAAACGTCACATTCGGTACACACGCATTGAAAGCCTGGAGAATAGTCTGACATGTTGTTGCTAATCTGTGTTGGCTAACTGCATGCACTATGGACTTGTGATGAAGTACGTATTTGATGGGGCATGAAATAAGGGCATGATTGAGACTACAGGGGAGTCTTGTAGAAATTCTCCACTGCTTACATAGTTGGTACAGACAGTGTCAAAGCCAACATTTCATTGCGCATTTTTTTTCGCCAAGATTGGTAGTGTATTTTTATGCCAGCTCTGTGACCTACCACAAACATGAACACCAACACCCCCTACACTAGATGATGTGACCGTATCGCTCTTTACTGTAGTGCCTCTACGGGGAAGTTTAACAATGCCTTTTCATCAAATACTAGGAAGGATTACAAACAACAAAGCGCCTCTGTGTAGGGCATACACTGATTATAATAGAACGGCACACAGTGGTAAATGTTGAGATTGGACGTCAAAACTTCGCGCCGACGAAATGGCACATCAAAAAGTGCATATTTGCGCTGCGAGTCTTGGATTCATTGATAAGCGTTGTAAATAAACTTTGACGGATGCAAATACTGTTACCTAGCAAATACACCTTGTTGTTGCAGAAACAATGGCCAGGTAAAAAGTGACCGGGTAAGGGTCGCGGAACAATGTTGACGGTAAACAGTAGCTGCGTGATCGTGAAAATGTATATGCCTTGCAAGGCTAGCTCTCTCAGTATGTACTGCAATGTAGTATCGTTCCTTCTTACCGGCCACAACTGACAAGGAGTAGTTTTGAGAACCTTTCTGTTGGCTTCAAGACCGTACAGAACGACTGGGACGTACATTTCCCGGAGACGTACCCGGCAAACATGAAAAGAAGTCGCGGTGTGACGACGCTTCGCCCGCCGGTACGAGGTTCAGCAACACGACGTCAAGGTTTGTGTCTACTGCGTCATTCAAGTGTCCACTAGCAGATCTCTATACTTTAGTGTTGAATATTTCTAACACGACGCCAAAGTTTCCTCACGTTCAAGTACAGAGAACTAGGAAGGCACTGTCTCCGCTCGTAAAATGGCGACTGGGAGCACTTTTAAAATAGTTGGTCCCAGTGAATATTTTTTTTGACATACAGAATCTTGACACGAAGAACTGTTCTGTTTTACCATATTATACAAAGAGTAAACGGAAGGGTGACAGATTCGTATCCGACAGTCAAGTATTTGGTTCAATGGTCGACAAAGTCGATAAAGCTTGAAGACATTTCTTGGTTACCATACACCATAGAGGTAATTTGATAAGGCTAGCCTCATTGTTTACTATAAAGGACGCGCCGCAGGTCATACCAGTGTCACGTAGTTAGTGTTTGGAACATGTCTTAGAGTGATCAAGTCTCTTCATTTCTTTGCAAATGTAGCATGAATGCTGAGAAAGTAGAGATCTGCGGATGACAGGCGAGCATAATGGGTTCTGGGGTAAGTGAGACATACCTTTGAACAATTGACAATGTTTGCATATACGTATGATGTCGTGAAGTACATGGAGTTGGTTACGTGTGTGGCGCATAAATATGCAAAAACAGTGTTGGCCAAACAGTCTACTTGCATACCTTGTTATGTTGTGAAAAGAGATGTACTAGTTCTTAGTCAATAGTTCTATTCAACATTCTGCAAAACATACTACCCGTTGAACCTATATGTAGAATTTTGCTAGACCCATACCAGCTAGTAATCTTATTATCTGCCAAACATTGTACCTGTTACAATCGTTGTGCAATAAACTTTGACTTGACTTGAAATTTTGATCACGTACATCAGTACTGCTGATGCAATCAAAGATCGGATATGCTGAGTTATTTTCATATTCACATCAATCACTTAACAGGCTTCAACAGGTTCCAAAGAGAAGGAGTCCAAAGAGTCGGAGGCCAGGGCTGCTGACCAGAAGGCGACGGACGAAAGGAAAAAGCTAATAGAGGCTGTGACGTCACGAAATGTACAGGACACCCATCACTGGATCAAATGCCTGAAAAATGTCAACTTCTACGATCCATTTGGGGTAACACAAATTATTCGCATGATTATCGGTGCTCCAAAATCAATGGTTTATAGCCAGCTTTTAGACTAGAATAGTCCCATGTTATATATTATATATGTATTGTGCGTCATTGTTTGTTCGTTATCTTACGCGCTATTATTTGCAAAATATTGCAATAAACTTTAATATTAATCATACACAGTAAAAAGTAGTCATTATAGAAAGGTGATACCACGGAGTTGTTACTTGATTACATCATTAATGTAATAACATACTTTATCATTGCATAATCAGTATTTGTTTTCTAATTATACTTTTCTAAGAAAACACCGCTACATCGGGCGGCCTTTCTTGGGGATTTCGAGATTGTGGACCTACTGATCAGAGCTGGGGCGGACGTCAACATGCTTGCTAACAGCAGTTTACCGCAAGTTCGGGTGTGTAGTTTTATCTATGCTGTTTGAAAAAAGATTTTCATCATAGCGAAACATTATATGCTATTTGCAAGAGTAAACATGTAGAATCAGGTCTCTGGTGGGGTTGTGAAGCGTAACGGTAGAGTGTTCGCCTCGGAACCAAGAGGTCCCGGGTTCGAACCCTGCCATGCCACCGATCTTGTGCCCTTGGGAAAGGCACTTAAGACGAATTTCCCCGCTCAACTCAAGTGAAAATTAGTTTGCCTGTTGACTGTGCGTTTGTCTGTGGTGGTGGCGGCATAAAAATAAGTTGGAAAAACTTGAGTGTATTGTGCTGAATGTTGCAATAGAAAACAAATCACGTCTTTGTGTCATTATTGCTCATAAAGGTCACAAACATTATCACAACGTATTCTGGCCATAGCAAAAAACGGTATGTTCGTGTAGTTATGGGGAAGGAGAACAGCAATGTTTTAAATCTCCGCATGTGTTATTGCAGTCGCGGAGCGCATTGCATGAAGCCTCCGAGAGGGGCGAGAAGGATCATCGTCGTATCATTCAACGTCTGGTGCAAGTTGGTGTGAACATTGGAAGCAAAGACGGTGTATGTACAACATATTGTTTTGATATGGTTAACGTAAAATCAGAAATGCGCGAAACTTTGATCTGATCCTTAGTCTTTTAATGTAGACTTGCATATTGAGTCTCTATGTTCAAGTAATGGACAAATTTACAACAAGAGTTAAAATTGTTGTTTTTTTATTTTGTAGAGAGGGAAAACTGCATTAGACATCATGTCTGAACGAGGGCACAAGGCCGCTGTCCATTGTCTACTTGATGCCGGTGTTGATAAGCAACGTGACTCGGAGGTAAGCACACAGATGTTGTTGTCGGCGGCACATACTTGCTTATTCTTTAGATGCAAGACTGACAGAACGTAATGCATTCTGTAAAGGAAGCTGACACGGGGAAGCTCGGGAACGTTTAAAAAATATCTTAATCCATTATTATTCAAAACATCATGCAATCACATCTTCGGCGCCAGAACGTGGATTAGTTGTATGGATCATTACTTACACACAGTTGTGTTTGTCAGGAGGATCTCCTTCAACTCTCTACGAACATCAGGCTCTACCAGCCGGAGGGCCAGAAATGGCACGTCGTCCCTCCGAAAATCGTCAACCCTAACAACGTTACGCTAAAACTTCACGAAGAAGACCATCTTGTCAGCAACATTTTCGACTTCAGCCACATTGAAGGGGAGCTATCGCCCGATCAGGTGTGCATCGTGAAGTTACCACATGACCAGGAGATTCCTGATGAGTCACGGAGGCTCGTGGCAGTGGCGAGCAAGCATTTGATTGGACTTCCGACCTGGGAATTCTTTTACAAATCCCTGGATGTAAGTATGAGTCTTAGTAACGTTTCTTCTCATGTTCTGAAACAAGTTTGAACTGTAATGTATGGCCAACACAAAAAAATTAGACAACACAAATTTTCGACTGTACAACTTCTCTCGTGTTGATAACAATATAGTTGCACTTTGAGAGGCAGTGGACTATATAATGTCTTATTCTCATGTCTTTGTTATTACAGCTCCAGCCGTATGTTGTGGCAGAGGTTGCGCAGTTGTCGTGGTTCGCCGTTCTGTCCAGACCGCTGACGGACTCGTTCTCAGTCGGTTCTTCGGGTGGCGAACTGACGTCGACTGCTGATCCAAGAGCGTCTCTCAAGATACCGGAGAACACTTCCTCTGACATGACAGTAGTCCTCGAGGTGGGAATTTATCTAATTAGAATTTACATTTTCATGATATGCCTTATTCTTCTTTCATGTCTATTCCGATGAGAGAATTCCAAATCTTTATCTAGTTTTGAATAAGGGATGAAGCTATTCATATTGTGTTTAGAAGACTTAAAATGACTTGTAGTGACACCTGTCCTTATCCTTTCCCACAGATTCTCCCTGTAGATGAGAAAACCACAAAAAGGGCCCAGAAGCACGAGGATGAATGTAAGATTGTACAGTCCGCTGGATCTGTCGTGCGAATCAAAGTAATCGGACCAGAAGGCAAGGAGGAGGACATGGAACCAAGTCGCCCAATGGCACTACAGCTTCCAGCTCCAAAGCTACTGCACGGAGAAAGTGAAGTTGACGAAAATGAACTGAGAATTCTGCAGGACAAACAAGATAACGAATGGTGGGACGTTACAGAAGACATTAAACACAGACTGGTCAACGACAGAGTCAAATGTGAACTGAAGAAGTTAGAAAAGGCTGGGTGAGTGAGTGTTACTCACAACATGTTACACAGTTCCGAGATATAGATTTTGTTGATGTAGCTACAACCCTCTGCAAATGCATTATCATTTTTCCAAGTATCATGTATCATAACCTGATTGTATGTAATGATCACCAGGAGGAAATGTATCAGTGGTGATACCGCTGAACAAAATACACGGTACATGTACTTTGAGAGGAACACGTGTACCAACATTTAGCAAGGTGTTGATGTTGCTGTTTCTATTCACCGCAGGTACATCACAACCTATGCCAAAGACCTCGAAGGATTGGCAGCAGCTTTTGGTACAGTTTTCATGCACAGGTACATCTTCAATGTCAACATGCTGATATTCTACAACGATAAAAACCCTGATGACGTCCGACTTTATGTTGGATGTTGTCTCAGCGACGATACACGTGGTGAGACGAATGATCTCAAGGATGATGGATACAAGATGTGTCAACGACCTAGCGAAGACATATTCATCCGGGTAGGACAGAGGTTTTACATAGAATTCTCTGGTAACGTGCAACCCCGCGATGAGGAAGGAATAGAGGACAGTCTGTGGTTTACCTTTCATCCGAGGAAAAGAAGAAACCACATCGAAACCAGTGTTAAAGTTCTGGACACCAGCCAAGACCCAAGAACAAACGTACACTTTAAGTGGCCTAGTCAGGGGGGCCAAGGCCAGGCAGCAAGTGGAGACACAAAGCCCAACATGACGAAGGCAGAAACCGATGAATGCTTCCTAACTATGCAAGTCTGTTTGCCACGTGAGGTAAGGATGACAATGTATCTCCTCTGAAAGTTATATACGTCAATATCGAGTTCGTCATTGTGTAAGTCATAGTTTCATGACATTTGTGTGGTACTGACCATGTTCTGTGCAGGTTGTATACACACTTATACGTTGTTATAACATTTATATAAATTCTATTTACAGACACCAGGAACTTCGAGGTCTTCAAAAAGTAAGTCAGATGCACGAATATTCTTATTTTGGTTGTCTCTCTGTCTCTCTGTCTCTCTCTCTCTCTCTCTCGCTCTGCCTCTCTCTCTGTGCGCGCGCGCGCGCGTGTGTGTGTGTGTGTGTGTGTGTGTGTGTGTGTGTGTGTGAAGTGTAAGTAACTGTATGCCACATGTCTAACATCATTCTTCCATATAACTGCTGACGTTACATACATGTTTTGCAGCTGCCAAGCTGAGCCTTGCAAACCAAGAGTTGCTGAGAAAGAACCGCGTCGAGATCGTGAACAACATGCAGCCACAAGAAGTGATGGATCATCTGTATCAGGAATTTGTGATTGAATTTGATGAGTTGCAAGAAATTCGACAGCAAAATACCAACTCGAAGAAAGTCGGCGCCCTGTTGGACATTTTACCGTACAAGGACGACCAGGACTTCGGTATATTTATTCAAGTGCTTCAGGAGACAAAGCACAATTTTCTCGCTGCTTTGCTTCAGGGAAAAGGTGAGTGTATTTACAGTACTATATGTGTAGTGTGTCAATAATACTATCATACGAAAGCACGAAACTACCTTGTCCTTGGTACTGAAACACTATCAAAAGCACTACTAGCTACCCTGTCCTTGGTGCTGAAAACAATATCAAAAGCACTACTAGCTACCCTGTCCTTGTCACTGAAAACACTATCAAAAGCACTACTAGCTACCCTGTCCTTGGCACTGAAAACACTATCAAAAGCACTACTAGCTACCCTGTCCTTGGCACTGAAAACACTATCAAAAGCACTACTAGCTACCCTGTCCTTGGTGCTGAAAACAATATCAAAAGCACTACTAGCTACCCTGTCCTTGGTGCTGAAAACAATATCAAACGCAATAACTACCCTGTCCTTGGTACTGGAAACACTATCAAAAGCACTACTAGCTACCCTGTTATTGGTACTGAAAACACTATCAAAAGCACTTGTGTATTCTTTGTACTTTGCAAATCGACCCTAGAAGCCGGTATGAAAGAAAAGTGAAAGAAATTGCATTTTGCAGCAAAGCCGGATCCACCAACTGGAGTCAAAGTTACGCCCGAGTCTTCCAAGTCGCTGACCGTATCTTGGACGCCAGGGTCCGACGGAGGCTGCCAGCAGCATTTTCAGATCACCTTCTGTCAGAAGGGTAGCAGCATCTTTGCTGCCCCAGATCTGGTGAAAACCCCGGGCGTCACAAGCCATGAGATCACCGGTCTGCAGGCGAGCACTACCTACGAGGTGAAAGTCTGTGGAGTGAACGACTTGGGACCGGGGGAGGACCAAAAAGCAGAAGGAACAACGCAAGGTAAACAAACTCTATCTATCTACCTACAAATAGCTAGGTAGCTGGTCAGCTATTAATCTAACTGCCTAGCTAACTAGCTACTTATGTGCAACTGTTTGGCTATCTATCTAGAACTATGCGATTGAGTGATAAGCTTATCATGTATTTGCACCAAAAATACATGTACCAACTAGGTTACCTATCAGTTATTACAACAGATTAATAGAAAACAATACAGAGGGTTGCCATCTACCAAAAGGTTGATACATTGAAATTGTATGCAATGAAATACATTGAATATGTTCTTTTACTTCATGCGCAGCTGGCCCAACAATGTCGAAAAACAATCAAGATATTCTAAGCAGAAACCAAGACGAAGTTGTGCAAAAAATGCAACCAGAAGAAGTGATCGACTACCTCATTCAACATCACGTTATCACTGCCAAGGAAGCGACAGAAATCCGCAACAGCCATTCTAGCCGTGATCCGATAGTGGCGAACGTGCTCGACCTTCTACCGTTCAAAGGAGACCGGGGATTCACTGTGTTACTGGCAGCTCTCGATGATACGAACCAGCCGTACCTTGCTGCACTGCTGCGTGGAGCAGGTAAGGTTTTATCTGTAACACAGCCCTTTGTCGTATGATCGCTGTACTCCACATACAGGAAATGTATAAATTATTATGTGTCATGCATTCTGCCAGACAGAATTTAATTTGCTGAATGTTAACTACATTTGAAATGTTGCACGTCCCTAATGGACCCTAACGGGTGAGTCTTGTGTAGTAAGACCGTCCAAGAGTGTATGACAGAAGTTGCTCTTTACATACAGAGAAACCAGACCCACCCACAAAGATCACAGTATTTGCTCGCCACGTCTCTTTGGACATCTCCTGGACGCCTGGAAAGGATGGAGGATCCGAGCAGCATTTTGAAATCGCTTACCACAGAAAGGACCAGGCTAGTGCCACCACTGCATCATCGCCCATTGCAGTAAAGGCTGGCGCTACGAGTCATCGCATCGACGGCTTACAGCCAAAGACAACTTACACCGTTAAAGTCAGGGGAGTGAACGTGATGGGACAGGGGCTGTACCAGGAAACGGAAGTGACAACACGAGGTCAGTGTACTACTACTACTGTATAGTGTACAGTTCATGCGTCTGTCTGTGTTGGTGGCGGCATAAAGATAAGTTGAAAAAACCTGAATGTGCGTCGCCATGTCATGTAATGAATTTTGGAATAGAAAAGAAATATTGCGTGGAGCAGGTAAGGTTTTACCTGTCTTGTGACGGTCTTGTGACGATTTTTGCATTTGGAGAAACATTGTCTAATATCATTATAGGATAGAATACGATAGGCAATATAGTTAACTTTCCATCGATAATTTTACAGCTGAGCCAACAATGTCCAAGCAATGTCAGCAGATTCTGGACAAGCACAGCGCTGCCATTGTGGACCGGATGCAGCCCCAGAATGTGGTGGACTACCTCATTCAAAGGAACGCTATCGAGGCCACTGAGAAACAGAGCATGGAAAACATCGACAAGTCGAGCAAAGGGGTTGTCCGCCGCTTACTTGAATGTCTACCTTACCACGGCGACAAGGCGTTCAACGGGCTGTTAAGCTTCCTGGAGGAGACAAAGCAGAATTACCTTAGTGCCTTGCTTCGTGGTGTTGGTAAGCTATACAATTTTGTACTCTGTATTTTAGACATGAATTCACAAGTGCTCTTCTCAAGTTTCTTTATATGCAACTTTATCAATCTCTATTTCAGCTCTGCTTCGTTTGCTTGAACTTTATTTCATTTTGTTGTTCTTTAGAGAAGCCAGGCCCTCCCACTGACGTAGTGGTCACGTGTGTCTCCCATGAGTCCTTGCACGTGAGCTGGACACCTGGCCCTGACGGAGGTTCCACTCAGTGCTTCGAGATTGTTTACCAGAAGAAAGAACATGGCGCTGCTCTCACGACAGTGCCATCACACACCGCTCAGGTGAAGGAAGAGGGCGTCACAGAGTTCCTGATAGACGGACTGGAACCGAGCACAGTTTACGTCGTCAAAGTCAGGGGAGTAAACGTACTGGGACCAGGGGAGTTCCAGTCTCAAGACGCAGAAGCAGCTACAAAAGGTAAGTCGTTTTTCTTTTTTTTCCGCAGTCAACATTTACGCAGTTCTAAAGTTGTTGATAATATTATACAGCCTTGGAGTAACCATTTCATGTGGTGAAACTGATATTACAAAGTTCAAGTTAAAACCTGGTAACAGCTTTAATATAAGAGATTCGATTGTGTTTGAACAATTCAACTGACGCTTATTTCTCATCTTCTAGCCGGGCCGAATATGTCCATGGAGTATCAGGATCTGCTGAAGAAATCGCGCAGTGAGGCAGCGGAGACCATGTCACCAGAAGGTGTCATATCCAACCTCATCAGCGCCGGCGTTCTTGAAGAAGCAGAAGACAAGATGATGCGGGGCTCCCGCACGTCAGCCAGTGAAATCACCTGCGCCCTGCTGGACCTGCTACCGTACAAGGGTGATGAGGGATACAGGGTGTTGCTGACGGCACTTGAAGCGACAAATCAAAATTACCTTGCCGCTGTCTTTCAGGGGAAAGGTGAGTTTAGACTTTGATCTACATCAGAACGTTTTTATGTTTGGGGAAGAACCTTTATGCATGCCTGTCAAAATATTGACATGATAGCTCAGAACTACGCCAGGAGTAACAACAGTTATCGTATATATCCTTGTGAGACTTTGATATGCATCAAAACGTTTTTATGTATGGGGAAGCATCTTACGCAATAACCCTGTCAAAATATTGACACGATAGCTCAGAACTACGCCAGGAGTAACAACAGTTATGGAATGTATGTTTATGAGTTTACTGTACGATGTGAACAATGTGAACACGTACATGCAACTCTAGACTTTTCGTTTTTTTTTTCTTTCAGAAATACCGTCGCCTCCGACAGACGTGACCCTCATATCTACCTGCTATGACTCGCTGAACGTCAGCTGGACACCGGGGTATGACGGAGGCTGCGAGCAGTACTTTGAGATCACGTATCGCGACAAGGACCGAGATGGCGACTTCATCACACCACCAATCGAAGTCAAGATATCAAACGTCAACACCTATCTCATCGAGGACTTGCAAGAGAGTACAACGTATGTTGTCAAAGTAAGGGGAGTGAACGAGCTAGGACCTGGGGAGTACCAAACCCCGGAGGCCGAGGAAATCACAAGAGGTAACTCAACGCTCTGAACCGGTTGCATCCTCCCCGAACCGGTTGCATCCGGTTTAATCTCATTAAACACTCCTGTTGTTGACATTCAGTACAATTTTCTACCTTAATCGTTGCTTATCATTACTTAGTAATGAAGATTGTAATCACATCCTATATGTGCCTCTGTCGTCACAGGCTTAAGTCATAGGATCTAGATGAGCTTTGAATTTGACGTTTGCAGAATATGATTAATATTCAATTGCAAGAAGACGTTCATAATACAATTTTTTGTTAGTGCTCTGATGTTTCAATTTATCTCGAGTAGACGCTCAATAACGTCAGAACTGTGATTTGAAACGGGTCGTTTTCGAGCCCAACCAATGCTGAAATGATCTATGGTTGACAAAATGCTTTATGTTCACCACGACGTCATCTATCTCTATCCAGGGGCTCCTTCTCATCCAGACTTGCTCAACGTCAAGAAGAAGACAGACACATCCCTGACTATGTCATGGAAACCAGGGCGCATCGACGAAGGCGATCCCTGGGAGGACTACTTCCTGCAGTACAAAGAAAAATCACAAGGAGCGAACTTTCCCTACCTGGCGCCGATACGTGTGACGCCACAGCTCGCTACGGAGTACACGATCGGCGGCCTGCAGCCTGATACTACCTACAGCATCAAGCTGTACGCAAAGAGTGCGACCAAGACCTCGAAATCTGTGATATTGGCAGGGGTCACAAACCCTTTGCCTTCCTGAATTTGTGCGAAATTGCAGGATATTGTGGTCAGTTCTGATCTATATTGCTTTAAAATGTACATGAAATCCACACGTTTCATCTGATAAAAAATCATCGCCACTTACAGATCTACTTGAATATTTGGTATTACTCAGCAGAAAGTAGATATGTTTCTGAGTAAAATATCTATTCAACACATCACAGAAATTCAATGTTGCTAAAAATCTCCTGATCAACTTGGAACGTCTTGCTTTGCTTTCAAAATGAACGAACATGTCCTAAGTACTCCAGTCGTCCACTATTTAACGTTGTTTATTGCAACTCTTTATCTCCTACGTTATAAGGTAACCCCCATTTCCAGCCTTTTCATAACGTTTGTAATGGTTAAACCCAAGGTTAACCTTATGCGGTATTGTCATTCTTGTCACGCAGAGACGCAATGTATGGATCACAGAAGTCACTATCTACGTTTCCAACTGGAACAGGAAATTGTGTCTTAGCGTAACAGATAACTATTGACATTTTATCTCGTCCTGGAAGACAGTGACAAGTGATAGCCTGTACAGGAAAACGATATTACACATACGTCTTCACGTGTTTTATTGTGTATTACAGAAAGTCTCATATTGAGACGGCTTCTGTAACTTGATGATCTTTGTCTTCGCATTTTTCACCCAAAATTACCTTTGTTGGTAAAATCACGTGAACTGCACCCATAAAATCACTGCATTTACCACCATGCTATGTTGAATAGACATCAAGTATCCTTGCGCACACCATGACTTGCTAGTCTGATATGTCTTTTTTAACCTCTTATCTTGTTGAATCAATTTATTCATTTCACAAGGCTTATGGCGATATGGTGATATTTTGCAGACTACACCATATGAATTGAATCAATTTAAATGAGATATGCTTTTTCATCCTCAAAAGTACGATTTGTATCAAGACGTCTATGAAATCTCGTTTTGCTAACACTTGATTCCCATAGATATTTTTGATCTATGACACCACGTTCAAAAATTCAGTGATTTTTTTATTAGAACTCGAAACAAAGCCGAGCAAAGACGCCGTTTCTTGTTTTTATTTTACTTGGATCTCATAAACCAGGTTTGCTCCAGCGATTGCCTCCATTGTTCAGTCAGGTCGCGTATCGCCAGGTGGTCACCTGACTGCAGGGAGACGTCAATCAGACCGTGTTGGCTCCACGAAACCACGCCTCCAAAACATCCGAATCTTTATTCTGCAAGGTCATAGGTAGAGCCATGTCTACGGCTATCCCTTGTATGTCAGCTGGCCGTTTTAACACAGCGGCAACTGCACGGGGGCTTGTGTAGGAGGAAGGATGGCGGATAGCGGATGCTGGTGCTGATCACGAAATAACACGTTGATTGCTCTCAGTTGAACTTACACCATGTCATTGTGATGCTGCTGCCGGAGAACTCGGGAGGGAGCTTTCTACATTTCATCGGGGTTGTCCTCGTCGGTATCGTGGGATACTCGCGGGCGTACCCGTTCGGAGCACCGTCGGCCGCCTGCCAGGACCTGATCCCAGGCCACGGGAAAGAAGTGGTGTCCAGTCGGGCTTACCGCCTCGAGGTGACCGACAACTGGGGAAACAGCGTCGATGGATACATCCCGGGGAAGGTTTATCACGGTAACTTGAACGTTAACTCTTCACTTACGGCAATATAGTATTTATGATTGACCGTCGGTTGTAGCTGTGCTGTCTTTTCCTTTACGTTATCTAATAGCAATCATTATAACGATTGATTTAATACCATATAAACCTCTACCAGGTGTCGTTTATACGGTTACGGCTACCATGGAGGAGAATGGATCTGAGAGAAGTCCCTCGTTGTGGGCTGAACAATCGAAAGATATCGATTTACAAAGCATTTCATCCCATCCAAATTTCACCTTTACTAGCCGCCGGCGAAATCTACAATATACACATTTTCATCAACTGTCGTTCAGAGCGCCGGAAACATCGACATCTAGATTAACTGTGCTAGCTGACGCAAACACCGTATCACACTCTGTAGCACTTACTCAATACTCCAGTTGAATACCTTACAACTGTAATGCGTAGTAAGCTGTTAGTGATGGCTGGCTAAAGTATGTCTAGCAGGTCGTACAATACATGTAATTTACTTGAAAACCCTGCAATTCCTTGGCATCGATAGGGAGGTTCACTGCAACACTGCTTCCAACAACTGTGGCTAAAACTGTATTCGGCATGCTATTTTGATATGACATTACATTAAGTGGGACCTGTATACTTTGCGTGCCTCAAAATGAATGTCACAAATCACATTGACTGTGTTTGTGCCTCAAGGCTTTGTCCCTCCTACATTTTTTTCACATCGATAGGGACGTAGCTACAACACTGCTTCCAACAACTGTAGCGAAACGGTATCTAGCATGTAATAAAATAGCCTGCTATAAGACATAGCATACAACAGGGCTTTTATACTTTGTGTGCCACAAAATTAATGTCACAAATCACATTACTGTGTTTGAGACTCAAGGTATTGTCCCCCGCCCCGTGCAATTTTTCACATTGACGTAGCTGGAACACTGCTTCCAACAACTGTAGCCAACTAGCATGTAATAAAATAGCCTGCTATTTTGATATGACATGGCATACAGCAGGGCCTGTATACGTTGTGTGCCACAAAATGAATGTCACAAATCACATTGACTGCCTTTGTGCCTGAAGGCACTGTCTACTGTTCAACACAGCTGTATGAGATCTACCAGCGCGACTTTAATTGGTTTGAAGGCGGCGACCGGTCGGATGACTTACCGCCCGTGTTGGAGGACGCGCTGTGTGCCATTAGGTAAAGCGTCAATTTAGGGAGAGGACGGACGGATTAATTTGCGGCGCAGGCGGGGGAGGGTGGAGCAGGTTGTCGACCGGCGGTTCCCTGTTCCTGATGAAGTTATGTCCAATGAAATGTCATTTATGCGTGGCCATAGATTGTATCAGCCGACCCAGTTGACCGCCTTTTTACTTGTAATGATGTGAAATGCGTAACACAATATTTGCGGGACAGATAAGCGTTTGTCTTCTTCGATTAGAAATCAGTAAAATTTCATTGCCGTGCACCTTTTCTGTGAACTCAACCCCGTAATAGATCTATTTTGTCATGCACGTATACATCTGAAGCTATCAAAATCTCATCTCGTTGGTACCAGCATTGATTCTTAAAGCGACGCTGGGTATTCAGCTACGGTGACATATTATTCCTTTTTCCCCACACTTTGAACGACATTGTACGGATAATTCATCGTAGATACGGGATTATACTATACAAAAATAATTTACAGCACCACTATGTTAAAACGCCCCATTTTAGATTGTGTGGAATAGATTGAGAAGCATTTAAAGCGGGATGAGCTGAAAGTAATTGAAAAAGCCGTGATGTATGTACCGCAAATAATAACAGTAATAAAAGCAGTACAAATATACGACCCTACCATTGGCACACGGAGATGTGCATGAAGCATCACATCCAACAATTTAAAGCTTCCCTCGATCGGAATATCAGATGTAGCTGTGGAGTACACTGGACAAAATAGATTCGGATACACACATCTAATATATCTTGCCATCTTGCTAATGTATGTTGCCATAATACGACAAGATACCGGCCCGGATTTGAGCGAGTGTTTCCAAACCTATTTTGTTCAGTGGAGTAACTGTGGTGATCATAGTCACTTAGGCTGGGGGTGGGGGTGAGGTAATCATTACGGGTCAGTCTTTTTTTTTTATTCAACAAAATAACTGTAAATAATACAAAAGTAAACTGAAAAGCCAAGACGGCTTGTACAAATAGAAAATAACATAAAGAACGGAAAAGCCTCCCCTAAAGCCATTACTTTCGAGCTTGACAAAATGAAAATAATCTTGACAATGACATAATAACAATAACAGAAATTATAATGAACACAATGTTCCCCACTTACCCCGATGCTTCTCCAGCTTTCCCCTCCGAGATGCAATAAGACCTTCTGTCTTTTGAAAGACAGATGTTAATATTTTAAAAGACTGGAAGTTTAAAGTCTTAAAACGTCGGGATCGGAAAATGAAAATCTTACCTAATAATATAATGATATTATTTAAAGGGGATGCATTTGTAGAAATATCCCCAAACATAACTACAAAAGAATTTAATTCTAAATTTGCACGAATTTCTTGTTTTAACCAATTTTGTACGTTATTCCAAAAAGCTATCACATGAGGACATTCCCAGAAGATATGTATATAAGATTCTTCATCACTATGGCAGAAAGAACAGGTACTGGATTCGATTAAATTCCAAGTTTGTAATACTTTGTTACATAGGTAAAAATTTATAAAGTAGACGGTACTGAAAATATCGGGCGTTAGGGTCTATAGTACATTTAGTTAATGTTATAAATACTTCTCGCCATGGTATGGGCCTATCAAAATAATAAAACCATGATAACCTTACTTTATGGGCAATTATAACATCATTTGTATAAGCCAGAAAGAAATTATACAAAAACTTATTAATTTTAGTATTTTTTAACCACATATAATTTTTTTGTAATGGTAAACATACAAGCTCTTTTAACTGATTACTAGTAAGTAAAGTTTTCCATCTTTTAGGTATTGCAGATATAAGTTGTTGA